AGTGGTATGGAATGGGTAATGTACAGGTTATTGCTTCTGTAAGGCCGAGGAAGGCTCATGTAACTTCCTTTGTCGTTTTTATGTGTCAAAGAGTCAGAATCCAGAGTATTAGAGCTCAGACTTGAGCCATTTCAACACTAATTGACCCCAGTCAAGTCTCTCTATCCTCTCACTCAACAATGTTCATCTGCAAAGTCAGTGAGATGGATTAGAGTACCACTGAGGTTCCTTCTAGTGTTTGAAAGACAGAGCAAAACCCTGCCATTCTTGTTGGTTTGTGTCTGTTCCCCACTGGTTAGTGCCAGGATGTGGGTTCCAGGCCTAGAGGCTCTGCTTAGTCTCTCAGTAAATGTATTAAAGATAGTGTGTGTGTGTGTGTGTGTGTGTGTGTGTGTGTGTGTGTGTGTAAAGCATAAGGGTAGGGGCTAACTTTGTTTATAGGCCGATTTTACTATAATTTTTTTTAATTTTACTATTTTTTGTGTGTGTACCATCAAATCAGATCTGACTGGTACAGAAGGAGATTGCCCCTCCTCCAGCAGAGCATCTGATGGATTTGAGCTGTGTACCTCTGGGATTGCAATGCATTTTCTTGTCACTAGGCCAACGGAGCTCCCAATATAGGCCAGTTTTAATGGGAATATTGGTCACCGCAAGCAAAACCAGAATAACCTTCAACTTTCCAGAAGCAGATCTCCCAAAGGTTCTGACACAGTAATAGGTGATGAAGTCTGTGCTGAAAAGAGCTGTGAAGAAGCAGCTTCCTTCTACAGGAAGCTCCCCTTGGATTTCACAATTGTTATAGTAAAGTTTAAGAACGGTCTTCCTCACCGCTATCTCCCCAGCTTCCAGTGCAGAGCCTGGTACAGAGATGGTATTCAATAAAGAATCCTGAGATGGATGGCGACCTCAACCCACCTGCGCATCACAAACCAAGTTTCCTTTGCAACCTGTCTCAAAGTTCACCTGTGCCTTTCTCTTGAGCTTACAATATATTTTAGCTGTCTTTCTTCTCTGGTTCTTCTCACTTTTTCCATTTTATTATCTGTACATGAGTACATGACACAACATGCATATTACACAACCTTGCTTGCTGAAAAAAAAGACTTTAAGCACTCACTGATAAAGATCAAAGGCTATACAGCCTTCAGTATGGATTTGTTGTTGTTGTTAAGGGTATGACTCAGAGAGGCTCTCTGACACACTTTAGCTCGTGTTGCAGTCAACATGCCAATCTATCGTGTCAGGGGTGGGGCATTTCTTTTGTTGACTTTCCACTTTTCAGAGCATAATGTTCCTCTCCAAGGACTGGCCTCACTAGCAACATGTCCAAAGTATGAAAGACGACGCCATCTTTGCCTCCAAGGAGCACTCTGGCTTCACCTTCTCCAAGACATATCTGTTTGTTGTATCTTTGGGATATTCAGTACTCTTCTCTAACACCACAACTCAAAAGCTTCAATTCTTCTTCTGTCATCCTTATCCAATGCCAAGCTATCAGATGAGCAGCAAGTGATTGAAAAGAGCACGGCCTCTATCAGGCACACCTTAATCTTCAACATGATATCATTGCTCTCCCATATTTTGGAAAGGCCCCTGACAGTGGACCTGCCCAATGTAGTACATCTTATCTCCTGACTACTGGTTGGTTCCAGGGTGGTGTTTGTTGATCCAAGCAATATCAAAGGATAGCTTGAGAAGATAAAGCAATATATTATAATAAAATGTGCAAAGAGCTGGAGTCAGAGAATAAAAAGACAAGAACTCACTCGGCACTTCTCAAGCTGAAAGAACTGAAAAGTGAATTCAAGCCTTGAGATGCAATACTGAGAGATGCTATTGGTAAAATCTTAAGTGATCCAGAAAGCATCAAAAGAAGATGGAAGGAATACACAGAATCACTGTAAAGAAAAGAAAAGAAAAGAAAAGAAAAGAAAAGAAAAGAAAAGAAAAAAGTGGTTGACATTGGAAAATTTTAGCAAGTACCATATGAACAACAGTCAATGGTAATGAAGGAAAATGTCTAAGCTGTTCTGAAGGCATTGACAAAAAATAAGGCCCCGGGGAACAATGGGATACCAACTGACATGTTTTAATTAACAGATGCAGTCCTGGCCATGCTCATCTGTTTAAGGCAGGAAATTTGGAGGACAGATACCTGGCCAACTAACTGGAAGAGATCCATATTTGTTCCCATTTCCAATAAAGGTGACCCAACAGAATGTGGAAATTATAGAGTAATATCATTAATACCATGTGCAAGCAAAATATTGCTGAAGATCATCCAAAAATGGCTATAACAATATATTGATAGGGAACTTCTAGAAGTTCAAGCTGGGTTTAGAAGAGGACATGGCACCAGGGATATCATAGCTAATGTCAGATGGATCCTGGCAGAAAGCTGAGAATACAAGAAGAATGTCTATTTTTGTCTTATTGACTATGCAAAGGTATTTGACTATGTGGATCATAACAAATTATGACTAACATTGAGAAGACTGGGAGTCCCAGAACACGTAATTGTGCTCATACAAAATCTGTTCCTAGTTCAAGAGTCAGTTTTCTGAACAAAGCAAGGAAACCCTACATGGTTTAAAACCAGGAAGGCTGTGTTCCAGGAATATATCTTTCTCCTTACCTATCCAATCTGTACACTGAGGAAAAGAATTTGTATTCATGAAACTGAACTCTATGAAGAGGAATGTGGCATCAGGATCAGAGGAAGACTCATCAACAACCTTTTTTATGTAGATGATACAAATTTGCTTGCAGAACGAGAAGCACTTAAAAATGCTTACTGCAGAAGATCAAGGACTACAGCCTTCGTTATGGCTTACATTTTAATAACAAGCAAAGAAAGGTCCTCCTCACTGGGCAATATCATGACAGGTGAAGAAAGGGTTAAAATTGTCCAGTTCATGTTGTTGTTATGTGTCAGCGAGTCACTTGTGACTCATGGTGCCTGGAAATCTGCTCTAACCTCTGTCAACCTTACTGTCTCTGACACACCTTCCTCCATTACCTCAGTCACTGAATCATTCCATCTCATCGAGGGTCTTCCTTTCTTGTGCTGTCCCTCTACCCTTCCAAGCATTATGTTCCTCTCCAAGGACATGTCCCTTCTTGCAACATGCCCAATTCGTATTTTGATTTCTTGGCTGCTGGTGCCAAGAGTGTTGATTGTGGAGCCAAGCAAACTAAAGCCGTTAACAATTTCAGCCTCTTCACCATCTATCATAGTGCTGTCAACCGGCCCAGTGGTGAGAATCTTTGTTTTCTTGATGTTGAGCTTCAGTCCATATTGAAGACTACAGTCCTTGCCCTTGTCCAGTGCATAGTGATCCCACATAACCGAAAACTACCATACAGTGTCCAGTGCATTACGATCCTATATAACTGAGAACTATGACACAGAGATTTTTATATCACGAATCCTTTTGGGGGCAGATTACCAAGTTTTTTCTTTGTTGGTTTTAAACACCCACCTTTTCATTAGCAATGTAGTACTTCACATCTCAGCTCCCCTGTGGGATCAAACTGAGAATTTATTGTTTGCTCCACGTTGAAATCCCATCACTGAAACCTTACACTAATTTAAAAGAAAGAATAAAACATTCTAATATCTAGCTTACAGTGGACACTTACACAAACACATAATTCATCTTTACATAAATGTTAAAGTAACTAGCAAGGAAGGGCTGTTTCTGAAAACACCAGGGAGAAACTTGTCCCCTAAACAGCACATAGGTGTCTCATTCCCACTTATGTACTCATACTCCTTCTTCCTGTTAGGGGCTGTGGAGTCAGTTACGAGTCACAGTGACCCTATGAACAGAACTGAATCCTGGCCTAGGCTGTGCCATTCTCACAATTTCTGACACACTTGGGCACATTGCTCCAGATGTGTTAATCCATTTGGTAGAGGGTCTTCCTCTCTTTTGTTGTCACATCACGTCAAGATTAGAATTGCAAATAAATATCACTTGGTTTAGCAATATCAAGGGAATGCCTAAAATTCTCCTCTTTAGGAGAAAACTTTTCAGTTTTCTCTCCCCAAATAATTAATTCAAAATTGGTCACCAACCATACCATTTATCACAATGGACTTATAGACCAATATCCAGATTTTCTATTGATTTCAGTTTCCGATACCACAACTATTTACAGGACTATCATTTAAGAATGAGATTTTCATTTTATCATTCTACAATGAAAAAGAAGAGGAAACAATACCCCGACCAACATACTTTTTTTTTTTAGCAAAAATTTATTGATGCTTTGAGTAAAAGAAGCACCACAAAAGATGTCTGGAGTGCCTGGGATGCAACCGAGGCTGTTGTTCTTGGTGAGGTTATTCTCACTGTGAACAATGGCAGCTCCTAGCTCTGAAACCTTTCTGGATGGCTTTCCAAATATCGCCATCTGGTGGAATTTTGGTTAATTGTCCCTTTGTTCTAAAGAGTTCCTGGAAGTGAGCCTTGAAGGCATTATTAGAGAGAGGACCAGGGGGAAATAACTCAAGGTCAAAATGATTACATCTCAAAGACAAATTGTAAGGAGGCTTTCTCGGTTTTTGTTTCCTTCACAGGAAACATTTTTCTGTCTATTGAAAGGCCAACAAAGCTACTGCCTTTACTTTTAACAACAACAAACAAAAACTAATTTACTTACAAAGAATAAAAAAAAATTGTCAGGAGGTCATTTGAATTGCAGGTTGCTATTACCCTCCTTCTTTTATAATGAATCAAATCTCCAAAATGAAACTTTAATTTGCTTAATACCATTTTTAGAGGAATTTCTCATAGCAGTCAATTAACCCTTTGCACACTTGGGAAATAGAATATACTTGGAAAAATGTAAGCAGTATTTTTACATGCATGTTTACGCCACCGCTAATGTTTTTGAAATAAATTTGTTACAAGGGCAATTATACTTCAGTTAGCCTGAAGACGGATCCATACAATCCAATGAAATGAATATAATATGCATTTTGATCTTACCTTAAGCATCCAGGCTCTCTCCCTGGCTGTCGAGATGAACTGTTCCTCTGGGAAACAGGATACTGGAATAACAGAAAAGCAACAAGAAGAAGAAAATGAAATTAGAATGATGGCATTTAGTGTAATGCAAACGTAGAAGAGAATAGTTACAATTTAGTTCATTGGGTGTGGTCAGCAGCGGAAGAGGGGAAAAAAAATCTCCAAATACTTCAATTCAGTTGACTGGACAGCTGGTGCACACCAGGACGGGCATTCTTCCTGTGTGATTAACAGCCTCTAAGAACCTGCTGCAGGGTCAGTGAAGAGTAGGTTCTGAACGTATGGTACCCAACAGCAACAACAACAAGCAACAGTAGATTAGTGCTCGCAATCTACATCACTAGATTCTCAGCTTGTTTCTTTGGTGTTAGTGACAGTTTAGTACAATGTTAATTCTATGGAAAGATTCCCCCCTTGTTTTCCGAGAGTGTGATGTGAAGAGAATAATATATGAGCAGACCAGAAGTACATCTAGCGGGTTATCAAATGCAGACATCTGCCGATTATACTGACCACCTCTCCCACCAAAATAACGTTGATTAGTTAATACAGGTTGCATCAGCTTCAACATAGAGTCACTCTTTCAGTCAGAAGGTGCTGGATTTATTTGAACAGGCTAAGCATGAAAAAAAAAACAACACCCACAAAACCCAACCCAAACCAACCCAAACCAAAACAAACCAAAAAACCCACCAAAAACCCAGAAGTTTAGCAGGACAGCAAGTAATAAATCTTGAAAAGGATGTGGAGAAATAGGAGTTTTCATACAGTGTTGGTGGGATTGTAATATGGTTCAACCACTCTGGAAGGCAATTTGGCATTTCCTCAAAAAACTGAATGTAGAAATTCTATATGACCCAGCTATTCTACTGCTTGGAGTATATCCTGAGAAAATTAGAACTGAGGCACAAATGGAGGTACATCAACGTCTATAGCAGCATTATTCACCATCACAAGAACATGGAAACAGCCCAAATGTCCAACCAAAACTGAATGTATTGAGAAATTGTGGTACCATTCACATGATGGAATACTACACACCATGCAGGAGCAGTGACTTTGAAAATCATTACCTAACTGGGGAGGACTGGAGAGCATTATGCTGAGTGAACTAACAAAGTTCCATAAGGACAAATAATGTGTAAGTCCATTATTATAGAAATAGAAAGATAAGTAGTGAAATGTGTATGAGGATCCAAGCAGGGGTGGGGGTGGGGGTGGGGAGAGCAGGAGCAGAGAGGTGAGGATGGCTAGAGAGGTAATCATAGGATCGCACAATTTGATGGGTAGAGGGAGGAGTGGGTAAAGGAAATGACAAAAGATCAGGTGTGAAAAACAATATAGATAAACATTGTAAGTACACCAGTATAAAATAAAATTTTATTTTTTTTAAAAATGTCAGGATTCTAGGTCTAATGGTGATTAATTTTATAAAACATAATGGATGGGAATGATCATATGAAACACACTGTGAATGCAGAACAGTGTGAAACACAATGTATAGGAATTTTGTAAGCAAATAAAAATAAAATATTTTTAAAAAATCAAGAATCATCAAGCATTACTTCCATAAAAGACCAGATAATACTTCAGGCTTTTCAGGTCACAGAGTCTTCATCACACCAACTCAATGCTATGGTTGGGACACAGGAGGTAGTTATCTTATGAACAATAAGAGTGTGGCTGTATTTCAATAAAACTTTATTCATGGCCCCTTGGGGGGGGATAATATAACACCAAGATCAAACTTCGTAGTCACACCAACAAGCAATCAGTCATTTTAATTGTATACATCAGTGTGTTCCCTTCAAAATGTCCTCTAGCGAACGATAAAGACAGTACACTGATGAGAGGCAGATCCAATTCTGACTCTGAGAAATGGGTCCGAGTGTTAGGCCTTGAAGGTCAGTGTTGGGAGTTGGGGTGGAGGGTTTTGGGAGAGGTTGTCTGGGGCTTAAGTGGACATAGCTAAAAAAGGAACCTGATGCAGACAGGCACACAAACAAGCACACAAGTACCCATAAGGGTCTTCCCCACCAAGCCAGGAAACACTGTTAGATGAATGTGTCAAAGTGGCCTCTCAAGTGCTATTTACTTCCTCTCAGCCATCTGAGGCCCATTACCTTCAGAAAGTCCACTGGCACCAATCTCAAATTTGACAACATAGTTGTTTCCAAAAATCAACCACATAAGCAGATTTTTAGACCTTTAGAGACTGCTTCACATACCCAGAAAAACTGCCCAACATCCGCTAGTCCTAGATAGCAGCATCGAACAGTTATATGGAGCCTAGAATGGGGCAGGTCTGAGTTCTCAGTACACTGTCTGCCCGCCTGGCTGCTGGAGCACTCCCGGATAGGTAAGCATCCTGCTTTCTCCTCTTCCTGGGGATTTTCAGCTCCCCTTCCCCTTACCCTGCTCCACTTGCCTCTGGCAGACAGACGCTGCTGTGCTCTTTCTCTTCCCATCTCTCACCCCCACCCCCACCATGCTGTTTTCAGACCATCAGCCCCAATAAATAGCTGCTGAAGGTCACATCTTGCCCTTGGTCAGCAGTTTCCAGTTCCCTTGAACTCACTCACTGCGTCCCCAAAGGTCCTTTCTCCACCTCACACATTTATAGTGCTCACATAGGAACTGCTCTTTTGTATTTTCTGTGTATGACAGCTTCTGAAGTGTCTTTGGCCTAAGATGATAATAAGATGTAATCCATCTAAGATATACTGTATAAAGACAGTATATAAAGACAGTAACAGGCAGCAGATCCAATACTATGTGATTAACCTCAGACTTGGCTTCCTTGGGGTGGGGGGAATTATTTTTCAAAGGTGTAGGGGTATTTTTCCATTTGTCCTATTAGGGTAAAAGTTCTCCAAACTCCTTTCATGAGTTTTCAAAGGCTGTAAATTGCATAGAAGGGGCTTGTCTATTTTTCTCCTGCAGAGCAACTGTGGATTTGAACCACCCCCCTCTGGGTTGGCAGAACAGCTCCCTACCACCAGAGCTCCTGCCAAGTACAAAATGGTAAGTGAAAAGTAGAGACGAGAGTTGAATTTTTTAATGTCACAAGGCTTGACAAAGGATTCAGAAAATAATTAATAAACTTTATTTAAAGGTCAGATAATTTTTGAAAATCGTGATTTTGGTGAAAGTTTGCAAAGCTAACAGATTTCCATTCAACCATTCATTTAATTTTATTTTTACATTAATCACAAGATATACCCTCCATGATATGGATTGGTTAAGAAGACTAGGGTAATGGGGGTAGCTGTGTCAGAGACAATAAGGTTGGCACAGGATAGAGCAGGGTTTAGGGTTGTTGTACACAGGGTCGCTCTGAGTTGCAAACAACTCAATAGCACATAACAACAGCAACTAGACATATAACGTAAATGCATTTCCCCTCATCTCCTTCCTCTAATTCTCTTCCCCTTAATCCTGCTATTTTACCATTTCTTGCCTTCTGAACTTTGTTGTTAGGTCCCATCGAGTTGACTATGGCTCATAATAACTCTATGAACGAAATAAAAACTTGCCGTAGTCTGTGCCATCCTTAGAATCTCTGCTCTGATTGAATTCATTATTACTGGGTTAGTCCGTCTCCTCATGGGTCTTCCTTTCTTTCCTTGATGCTCCATCTTTCCCAGTGTGATGCCTTTTTCGGTTGTTTTTTTTTTTTTTTTTTTAAAGGGACATTTTATTTGCCTCCCAAATGAAGTAAACAGGAAAATCTCAGTTTATTGTGTCTTGATAAAGTAAGATGAAGCTTAGAACTGGATCACTTGACCCTTTCACTTTTTATCTCCTCCCATTTCAAAGTACTTACGTCTTTTGATAGCCAACGTTCTTTTAGATCTGCAGTTTGGCTCAACATGATCAAGTCTTAACACGATGTTCTTTGTAGTTTTAGCCTTTTTATGAAAAATTGGCTTGGTCTGCCCGCCATAGCCACTCTGCTTCCTGTCATAGTGCCGCTTTCCCTGGGCATACAGAGAGTCTTTGCTCTTCCTGTACTGTGTCACTTTGTGGGGCTGGTGCTTGCCACACGTTTTGCAAAAAGTCCTGTGAGCTTTGGGAACATTGACCATATTCGCGGGAGCCCTATCTGCTTGAAAAGGCGTGATGCCTTTTTCAAGGAACTAACCCCTCCTGACAACATGCCCCTAGTCAGTGAGATAGAGTTTCCCCCTCCATCCTTGCCTCTAAGGAGCGGCCTGGTTGCACTTTCTCCAAATCAGATTTGTTTGTTCTGAACTTTATCTCCGAGCAAATTCTGCCCTTCTGATTTTATCTGGGTGATTATTCTAAGGAGTGAGAGTCTTCCTTATGACACCTTTCATCCTGTAGGTCTGTCTATTGTGTGGCTGCATGGGAAGCCACAGGGGTGAGGTCCATGCCAGGTTAAAAGGGTGACTAAGGGCTGCAGTCTTGGGGTGCCCATCACTTTGCTCAGACCAGTAAGCTTAGTCATTCTTACAGTTTTGTGTTTTACTCCATATTTTTCACTTGCTCTATCCAGGCCTTTCTACTGTGATTCCTTTTATAGAGATCAGTAGTGTTAGCCAGGTCATCATGGTAATGGAGTTTGAGGTACAAGTGGTCGGCTATGCATTGGCTCCATCTCGATGCCATATATCAACAACATTAGCTCTTTGGAATAATGGTCTCTGTGCACCTTTGATTTTCTTCTCTGACAAGCTTTTAAGACTCCAGTTGCTACTTACCAAGGTAAGGCTTTAGAACATTGCCATTGTGGATTATATTATGTCAATGACTCATACAACTCATTGGCATCAAGTCAGAACCAGTTCTGTTATGTCAATAAAGATCAGATAATTTAACCTTGAATGGCTTCAGTAGTTGAACTTGGTTACAGAAAAAGTCGCAGAAAACAACAAAAACCAAACCAACTTCTGCATCAGTTGATTTTAATGCCTAATAACCCTATCGAATAGAATAGACAGAACTTCCCTGTAGGGTTTCTGAGGTTATGAATATGTATGCAATCAGACAACCA